CCCCGCCGCAAAGACGGACAGGAACTCGGGGTGCTCAAATAGGAACTTGTCGGCAGAGGCGGCCGCCTCGTCGTAGACAGCCACGCTCGAGCCCCAAGAGTCTGGTCAGCAATCGGCAAGGCGGTCCAAAACGGAGCGCGTGTGCAAGAGTCAATTGAAGCTGCTGCTGTTGGCAGCTTCGATTGCGCGAGCGAGCGAGACTCCTGCGCCTGGCACCTTGGCAGCCGCCGCAAGTCGTCCCTCAGGCACCCGCCGCTGCCGGCGGCCGCACCCCCGCTGCACCCCCGCCCACACCCCCGCCGCAACCACTCACCAGAGTGGATCCGCACGCCTCGGTTGAATGCCAGCGGGAAGTACCCCGCGTCCAGATCGTCGGGGACCATCACCCCACTGCCGTCCGCCGAAGACAGGTCCATGAACCCCAGCCGCGCCCCCGGCGCCATGCCCGTCGCGGGCGAGTCCGCGTCGCTCGCCGCGCCGAGCGCGGCGCCGGCCAGCGTGCCGCTGGTGTGCGTGCCGTGGCCGACGGTGTCGAGCATGTTGGTGTCGGCGCGCCCGAGGTAGTACGCGACCTTCCGGTGCGTGTCCGAGGCGAAGACCTTGCCGGCAGGCGAGTCCTGGATGCCGGCCGCAAAGCTGACTGCCGGGTCGAAAAAGAAGCAGGAGTCCATGTCGAGGCCGCTGTCGCCGACGCCGATCAGCTGGCCCTCGCCGCGCAGCCCGACGCCCGCCGCAAAGAACGGGTGGGCAGCCGCGGAGGCGGCGCTCGGGTCGCCCGGCGCGCCGCGGACGCCGCCCTGCGTGACCGCGCTCGCGATGCGGTTGTGCAGCTGCATGCGGCGGCGCGGCTCGAGCCAATGCACCTGCGGCTGCCGGGCCAGCCACTCGACCACCGCGCCGAGCTCGTGCGCGCACGCAGAGACCGTCAGCGACCGCGCGCCCTCGACGTGCGCCGCCGGCACGCAGCCCGCGGCCGCGCCGCCAGACGTGGCGAGCGAGGCGAGCGGCGCGGCCCAGTCGACGGCGGCCGCCTCGGCTGGCGCGAAGCGCGTGCCAGAGGGCAGGTCATCCGCGACAACAGAGGCAAACCGCACGCCGATTAGCACGCGCGCACCCTGCGTGTCCCCGCCTGCGCGCGAGCCGCTGCTGCTGCGGCCGTCGCGCATCCAGGCCCCGGCACGGGTCGCTGTCCGCAGCTGCCGCGCGATGGGGTGCGCCAGCAGTGCCTCGTGTGCGCTGCGCTCGGCTGCTCCTGGCTTTCTGAAGAGCTCCCGTGTTTCCCGCGGCTGCTCCTGCTGCTCTTGCTGCTGCTCAGGCTTCTCCTGCTGCTCTTGCTGCTGCTCATCCTGCATGCCCTCCTCCTCGCCGTCTGGTGGGCCAAGGTCATAAGATGTTCCCTCTTCTGGATCAAATGCTGGTTGGTGCGGCGCCAGGCCGGCCCCCTTGGCAGCCAGCCGTGCCTCCCGCAACAGAGGCTGCAGCTCCGGAGCGATTTTGAATTGTGGGGCAAAAGGCGCCTGCGGGTGCAGCGGCATCAAAGCGTTGATGCGGAAGAAGCGACCAGGGGCAAGGGCGCACGCACGTATGCGCATACGTGCGCGGGTGAGCGTGCGTGCACGCTCGCTTGAACCGAAACCATTCGGGACAGCGAGCTCGCAATGGTAGTTGTGAACAACCCACACCCGCACACCACTGTGTTGTTCAACGCACCACAACGAGGCCTTCAGCTGCGGCCAAGGCATCGAAGCCTGCTGGGGCCAGGACGAGCCACGCATCCTCTGGAACAAACTCGCTCCAGAGCACACCGCGCGCCTCCAGCCGCTGCAGCAGGCCACGTTCACTCGCGCTTGTCGAGCCTGCGGCACCGCAAGGGCGGGTGTGCGAGCCATATTATTAATTTGTATAGCATTTTCGTGCCGTGGCTGGGCCGCGGGTTGGGCGGCCACGCTGCAGTTCCCATCCCACCTGCAGGAAGCTCAAGAAGGAACTGTGACCGCCCACATAGGGGGCCCCATCTGATGTCGATGCATGTTTCCTGCCGAGCTTCTAGCAGCCGTCGGCCCGCGGGAGGAGGCCTGCGCGTGGACAGTCAGCGAGCGTCACAGTCAGGGCACCGACCAGGCCCGCAACAGTTGTGGTGTATGATACGGAGTTTCTATCAGTGCTAGAGACACCTGGGGCTGCGAGCTCCGAGTCATACCGGGCCCGCTCACCGGAGAGCATCCCCGGCCACCCGCAGGTGCACAGCGGCCTGGCAGCGGGTGAATGTGGCGACTGAAAGGATCACTGTGAGGAAGATGCGTGACCCCCACGCCATGGTGCGACCAGGCAATCAGCCCGTCGCGTTCAACAGTGTTCTAGCGTAGCCATTTCTCCAATTTCATCACTTTGTGAGACATATAAAACTGGGGGTGTGGGAGTTGGGGACGTTGTTGAGAGCTTGGCCATGACCGATGCGAATGCCTCCTTCGTGTTCTCGGCTGTGCACGCTGGTCGCAGCCGCCCAACCCTATTACAACACCGCCTCGTGCTAGGCTAATGCACTGCGATGCGCTGTTTGGCGCTGTTGAAATATTCTTGTCAGGCTCGCTCCACCCGCAAATGGGGATGAATGTTGCAGCTCCGGAGGTGCGACTGCGGGGCTGAGTCAAAAAACTTTGACTCACCCATGCAGAACCCAGGTGCGAGAGCCAACCATCTCCCCTTGATTCTGGCTCGAAACCGATCAACTACTTTCAAGGGATTCAGTACATCAAGGGATACCGGTGGAGAGGGTACGCTCGGGGATACCCCATCCGCCTTGAGCACACGGCTGCTTGCCACGTGTGCTGTGTACGGTGTCTACCGCACGGTGGTGACAACTCCAAACGCCCACTGGTAATTGACCCTCGTCCCTGCATGCATGCTACGACGAAGTGTATCAATACTTATGATTGCATACAGCCCAACGGTGTGGGCGCATGAGTGGTTTTTGCACCACTCACGAGAGTGGCACCAACTGCAGGGGACAGCAAGCAGCTTCACGACAGGCAAGCAGGGCAGGCTCAATGGGCTGGAGACAGCCAGCACGACCAACAGCTACCAGGCAAGTACGAAGAAGACAGCCGAGTCATTTGACGTCGCCGATGCGTCAGGCAGATGGTCCATCCAGCTGTGCACGCAACACAACGAAGGCTGGCAAGCGACACCCAACGAAGATAGGCAGTCGCTGGCAATTCGCTAATTCACCCAGCACGGCGCGCTGATACATCCATAATTGAGTGGAGTGTGCCGTTTCTAGAGGGCTGTTGGAAGTTTGCTTTGGTGGTATACTGTGTGCGGTGCAGATGCCCAAGGTTGCTTACAGCCATTCTCGTTGCAAGTCAGCCAATTTTCAGCTTGCCAACCTGAACAGAAACATAATATTTCGGACCCACCACCTTCACACCTTTGTTCATACCCGTGATCATATGATCACCCCTACATATGCTAATTACACGCTCACTTTACTTCAGCCCTTGGTTTATTTGATAGAAGCGGTGTTGCTTGACACCCGCGCCCAATCCAAATGTGCGACGGCTAGAAAGCAATACCGTATGTGCAAACCCCTCACAGTGTGGTGCAAGAGTCAATTGTTGAAGCGGTTTTGGCTATGCTAATCTGAAGGCCAATCTGAAAATCCTGGGACCATGCCGTTTGAATCAGATTGTCACCGTCCATGATCACTCTGGCTGTTGCAACTTCCCTTGGCAGCTCGCACCCCTAGCTACAACAGAATGGCTGATCAACACACCATGGATACTTGCTACTGGTTCACTGGTTCTTCTTTTTCTTCTGGGCTGTTCCATTCCTGGGTGTCATGGCGGGTTGGCAATGTTCGGCACACCTGAAGGCACACGGTCTACGTGCGCGACCCTGTGACATGTGACCAGGCATTCTTTTTGTGCCGCGAAATTCAGCTTATAGCTGCATGCTCAAGGAAGTGAGGCGCGCATCTGAGTTGAATGGCCGGTGCGAAGGGAGCACAGGCCGGGGGAGGGCAGGGAAGGCTGGGGGGCAGCTGACCAGCTCGAGCTGATGAGCCCTTCACCAGCAGGAACGTCATACAGTAACGACGAACCCCGCTGCTGGCCACTTGCGTGCACCGGTACAATCCTCGATCGCTTGCCTATTCTCAATAGTATCGTACTGTGTGCAACGCTCCGTGCCTTCGCTGATATTGTCCTGATACGATCTGGCATTGTCTCGATTCAGATGGCTCCATTCGCCCTTTCTAAGCCGCCTGCAGCCGCAGCTGCCAATAAGCCACGGCTGGAACCCAGCTGCGCTGCCTGTTTGCGGCAGCGGCGCCACTGGCGCCACAAGGGGAGGGGCACCGGCAGGCTCGGCACTTGGCAGCCGCACGCGACAGCACGGCCAGCCACCAGGGAAAAAGAGGAGGCTGGATCGGTCCTTGGCGCAGCACTCCTAGTAGCCGGCACAGCAGTCGGCGCAGGTGGGCCAGGGGCCCGGCCTCTGCACCTTTGCGGGAGGACATTTTCACACACGCACTGCAAACGCACTGCACACGCACAGACACGTGCACAATCCGCAAGCGGGAACGCACGTGCGCAAGCGGGAACCGCACGCGCGCACCAAAACATGCACGCCCGTTGACTCCTCACGACGCCCACCGCCCCCCCACCCCCCCGGCCTCTCGACCCCCACTCTTTCCCTGGCGCCACTCCCGCCGCCGCCCGCCCCCGCTCAACAGGCGTCCTGGCGCTGCCCGCAGTCACCCAGGAGTCCGGCTTCCTCGCATCTGCGGCGGCGCTGGCCGGCGGCAGCGCGTACAGCGTCGCCATCGGGCTGCTGCTGGCAGAGCTCTATGTCAATTCGACCGCGGCGGCGCGGCAGGGGACGCCTGATGGCGGCGGCGGCGTCGAGGATAGCGGCGGCGGTGGTCAGGGCAGCGGCGGCGGCGTTGAGGAGGGCAGCAGCGGAAGCGCGGTCTTTGCAGAGATTGCGAGGAGGTGGGCGGGGGCCGTGAGGGGCTAGGCTCAGCTGGCGCTCTTTGGCCTGCGCGCCGCGCTCGATGTACGACGCCGCGCTTCCTGCGCCTCGCCGCCCCTGCCCCTCCGCCTCCCCCCACCCGCGACGCCACGCGCGCGACCTGCCCACCGCCTGCACCCCCGCGGCCCCGCCCCGGTGCGACCCGCGGCGCAGCACGCTGGGCGAGCGCGGCGTGGCGCTGGGCGCGGGCGCCTACCTCTTCCTGCACGTCGCCCTGCTGGTCGCTTACATATCAAAGTCCGCCGAGGTCGTCTCGGCCGCCACCGGCCTGGGGACCCTCCCGTCCGCCGCGCTGTTCGTCGCGGCCTTTGGCGGCCTGTGCTACTGCTCCAGCTCAGCGCTGCTGGACCGCGTGAACGGCCTGCTGGTGGTGCTGATCCTAGGCTCGTTTTTTGGGCTGCTGGCGTCCGCCGCGCCGCTGGTGGAGCCCGCACAGCTGCTGCGCGCGGACTGGGGCGCGGTGCCGGCGACACTGCCGGTCATAGCGCTCGCATTCGTGTGAGCGCGGGTTGCGGCGGCTAGGGAGACAGGCGAGGGGGGCTGGGGCAGGATGCGGGGTTCCGGCGGGCGACAAAGGGCACTGGCAGGCAAAGCTACTGCAGGAGTAGTGCGTGCACCGCTGCACGGGCTCGACCCAGCCGCCGCCGGTCAGCACCCTGGTTACGCCGGCTTGCGGCGAGAAACGTGCCGTGTGCCGTTGGCACCGCGCAACCCCTACACTCCCTGCATTGCCCGCACTACGCACACCCCTCTGCAAACCCTGTACCTCTGCACCCCCTCAGCTCCTGCACCCACCGCATCCCCCTCACCGCCCGCAACCTCTGCACCCCCCGTACCAACCCTTCCGCAGCTACCACAACGTCGTCCCCGTGATCTGCGCATCCCTCCAGGGGGACGCCACCAGAATACGTACAGCCATCATCGGCGGCGTGTCGGTGGGCTTTGGAGGGGGCAGCGACCCGGGCCGGGCGCTGCTAGCTGGCAGGTGTTGCATGCACCCAGCGTGTTGAGTTTGCTCCATCTGAAATAGAGGTGGCCGGGATGGGTCATGCGTGTAACGTGCACCGCGGGACGAGGCGTTGCTCGTGTGGCTGAATCGCGCCTGCCGGCCGGCGACCCTTGCGCAGCTGCCCCTGGTCATGTTCATATTGTGGGACGGCGCCATCCTGGGAAGCCTGGAGTCACTCGGCAGCAGCAGCGGCGGCAGCAGCAGCAGCGGGAGCGAGCTCGCCGCTCCGGCGGCTTTCCAAGCAGCAGGCGGTCCAGCCGGCGCCGTCGCGCCGTCGCTGCAGGGTCAGGAGGCAGCGGCACCAGCAGCCCAGCAGCAGCCGCTGCAGCCGCAGCAGCGGCCGCGGCAGCCGCGCGTGGAGGACCCCCTCGCCGCGCTGTCCGCCTCGTCCCCGGCCGTTGGAGCCGAGATCAGCGCCTTCTCGTTCCTGGCGGTCGCCACTTCTTTCATTGGGTTCGTCCTGGGGCTCACGGACTTTGTGGCCGGCGCGCTGGCGCTGCCCAGCCGGCAGGCGCCGGCGCCGTACCTGGTCGCGCTGCTGCCGCCGCTGGTGCTGGCGGTGTCGTTCCCGGGGATATTCCTGACGGCCATCGACACGGCCGGTGAGGGGTGGCTTTGGGCATGACACCCAAACACAGATCCAAAGCGCCGCTCAGCATTCACGTGCTGCCACAGCAGGTTGGAAGCTTGAGGATCCGGCAGAGCACAAGGGGCCCCAACCCCCGACAAGGTGTGGTGCCGCTTCCCCTGCCCCGACGCCCTCGCCGCCGGCGCCACGCGCGACGCAGGTACATATGGCGTGCTGACCCTCTTCGGCATCCTGCCCTGCGCCATGGCTTGGTCCGCGCGGTATGGCAGCGGCGCCGGCGACAGCGGCAGCGGCAGCAGCAGCAGCAGCAGCAAGAGCGGCGGCAGCGAAAGCAGCGGGGGCAGCGGGGGAGCCTTGCGCGGAGAGGTTGTTGAGCTGGTGCCGGGCGGCAAGCCCGTGCTCGTGCTGCTGGCTGGCGGGGCAGCTGCGATCATATTGAAAGAGTCTGCGGAGGCAGTCGCACGCCTGGTGTAACCCTCAGCGATTTGCGGGCACGCTTTTGAGGGTTCAATCCCGGCAAAGTTTGCCGGGTGCCATGGAGACAAGGGGGGTGGTTAAAGGGCTACAACACATGGGAACAGCTGTGTCCGGCAGGGGAGCAGCATCCGGCTGTGCCCTGCAGGGACGCAGCATCCGGTCTCGCACAGCCTCGATGTGCCATGAGCGTCAACAAGACCCAACCAAGCTGCAGGGTGACAATGCCACACCACCCCGGACGCCTGTGTGCACGACAAGGCGTGCTTTGTTAGCCGCGGCTCGGTTGCAGCGTGGCTTCGACTTAGCGTAACAGGCTGCGACAAAGCCAGCCCGCAGGCACAGCGCCCTGGCCAGCAGCTGCGCAGGCGCGCCATAGCTGTGCAATAACGCATGTAGACTGGGCACGGCACCTCTGATTTTAAGCACAGGCTGGTGCAGCCCAAGCCACTGGGCAGTGCGGCACTTCCTTGCGCGGTGCCCGCCCGTGCACCCACTAAGAGGACGGGTCCATGACGACGCTGGAGCCGCGCAGGTGCAGCGGCGCCGTGAGCAACGCGCGGTGCGGCGCCTGGACACGGCCCTAGGTGCACACGGCCTGGAGCAGCTTAGGGCAGGCATGCAGCCCAGGCTGAATGACTGCAGGAGTACACACCCGCAGTTGATAGTGCACATGAGCACACTCAAAGCAGAGCGCTGCAGAGCAGCTGCAAATGGCGGCACACACCAAGACAAGGCAATGCTCCCAAGCAAAGCGTGTGCCCCGGCGCAAGCAAGCATGCAAGTCAGCACACGAGACAGCGCTGCATCACATACATACGGTGCAATCTTCGACCCAGTTTGTGCTTGGTGTATTGCTTCTCTCTGTTCTCACCTTGTGTTGG